CCTAGTTACCTTTTTTACGGAAGCTCTGTCATAATGTCAGAAGACGGAACTCAGCAAGGTGATCCTGAAGCCCCACCCCTTTTTGCGGAAACAATTCATACACTAGTCAAACAGTTGGAGTCGAAAATTAACATCTGGTATTTAGATGATGGGAATTTAGCCGACGACTATAAGGTAGTACTCCGGGACCTTAAAAACATTCTGAAATCGGAACAAATTTACGGCCTGAGCTTAAACACTGAGAAGTGTGAACTTTGTTTTTTGGGACCGACTACTAGTACACAGTATAATTCAATTTTAACACAATTTCGAAAAATATGCCCCAAAATAAAAATAAAAACAAAAGAAGAACTCCTCATTTTAGGATCTCCAATCGGCGAACTTTGCCGAAAAGAATTACTCGACGAAAAAATTAGGGAGCTTGAAAAAATCTCGGATGTCATTGACAAACTAGACGCCCATTATGGTTTTTACCTCCTGAAAAATTGCTTTAGCATGCCAAAACTCCTATATTTTTTGCGTACGAGCCCTTGTTTTTTGCAAAATGATTTTTTGGAACGCTACGATAAATTACTAAGAAATTCGTTATGCAAGGTCACTAACGTGAAAATGGATGATAACCAGTTTTTACAAGCAGTTCTCCCGGCAGCCAAAGGTGGCTTGGGCGTTTCTTCCGCTCGTCTACTCGCTTTACCCGCTTTCTTAGCCTCAGCAGTAGGAGCGAAAGATGCCTTGAGCGAAATCTTTGGTTTGGAGCATGTGGATAGAACCTATGATGATGCGCTTAAACGGTGGTTTGACCTTGGAAAAATTGAAATGGCTCCGGAAAATGAAATCCAAAAAAATTGGACGGAGCCAATTTTTGACAGCGAAATTGCAGACTTGATTTTACGACTCGAACCAACGGACGTGAAAAGGTTCAACGCGTTCCAAGATAGATTTGGATCCCAATGGTTGAACGTCATCCCCTGCAAAAATTTAAGGTTAAAACTGTCGAACCAACAACTCAGAATTGCGATAGGACTTCGATTAGGATCAAAAATATGCGAACGGCATAAATGCGTGTGCGGAAAAGACGTTACCGAGGATGGTTGGCATGGTCTTTCTTGCCTCAAAAGTGCAGGGAGATTCTCTAGGCATTCAAACCTGAATGCCCTTATAAAGCAGAGTCTATCATCTACTCACATTCCGTCTGTTTTAGAACCACGACACCTCTACAGGTCCGATCAGAAGCGACCAGACGGTTTGACGCTCGTTCCATGGGCTGATGGTAAGCAGCTCTTGTGGGATGTAACGGTAGTAGACTCCTTAGCCCCTTGTAGGATTAATGCCGGGTCTGTTTGTAACCCTGGTACGGCTGCCGCTGAAGCGGAAGAGCGAAAAATTGACAAATATAAAGATCTTGTAAATGATGGATATCTTTTTCAACCGCTAGCTTTTGAAATTCAGGGCGCGGCCGGCCCCAGCACAGAAGTTTTTTTGAGCAAGCTTTGTAAGAACCTAAGCATATGCACTGAGGAACCCAGAGCAGGCAGCTTTTTAAAACAGAGAATCTCCCTGGCAATACAGATTGCGAACGCCGCTTGCGTACTCGGAACAATAAATGACAAAATAACTTTCGACGAAATTTTTTACTTGTAACACTTGTATATTATATTATCTCGTGTCGAGTTGCGTGTTCTTATTGAAGAAGCGTAACCCGTATCGATTTTAAATGAAAAGGACTTAAACACTTGACATCTTCTTTTATCATTATCACTTCCATATCTAGAAAATTCCAAGGATTTTGACTGGAATACATGATGAAGGGACTCATGACTGTAACCTCGGTTACTATGATACTTTTGACCTTCTGATTACCTTAGAAATGGTTGTACGAAAAATGTCGTGCGGAATTGTAAACAAGTCAATCAAAATGTGATTTCCAATTTAAACAGAACCGTGCCCATGAATTGGCTCTAAGTCACCTACTTCATTCAGTCATTCTTTTAAGCAAAACTAAAGAAATTTCATGCCAGTTTTTAATTTTCTCGGCTGGATACTGATTTGCCGCTTCAGGAATAGCAAAAACAAATTACTGTCAGCTTACGAAAAATCAAATGTGAAAATTTTCAAAACAAAGTAAACCCAAGAACAATCAAAACTTGTTTAAAAATATACCTATAAAGATTGATATATATTTATGCCTGTAACTTGTTAAAAGATATAATGGTAATCACATCGAACACTCTTATTTCCAAAGATCGGTCACAATAAGGAGCAACATTCATCAAAATATGTCCTCAGATGACGCATTGACTTAAAAAAAAAACGTCTAAGTAAGGTTAAAGAAAAACTATTTTTCTATATTTAAGGAAGTTTAGAAAAGATAAGGTGAGCCGATAAGTGTTCTCTGATTTCCTTGTTAAGAGTTAAGTTTTGCTTTTATTAATTATCCCTAATGCCGATTTATTCCTAAATGTGAAATTGATTTACACTAGCCTCGTAGATTTTTCCATAGCTGGCTAATAGTTCTTGTTTTTGTGTGTTTATAAGCTGACTAAGTGGTAAATTCGGGATTACCCCTGTTGTTGCGATGTCCGGGAAAAAGATAGACAGCTGTTCAGACAACAGTCGTTTTTGATGGGACTTAAAGACGCGGCTGCATACAATTCTTAATTGTGGGCCTTAGAAATATAAATCGCCTCAGTTTAATTAGCTCATTTTAATTGTTCTAACGCTCATTTTTCGGCTTTAATGTCATTTCGGTACTCGTTTAGAAGTATGGTGCCGCGGTTTTCGGTGCGTACCATTCAAAAGCTTCCTTAGAACTGTGTTCCCACCAGATCTCTCGAAACGTACTTGAAGTGAAGTGCTTCAAGTGGATTAAAACAAAAGGAAACTTGTAAACATTATTCTTCGTTAGGTTTGCCACCAAAGTTTTCTTCAAAATGAAGTTATGTTAAATATCATTTATCTGAAAAAAGTTTAAACTACCTTCTGTGTCTGACTTAAATCTTCAAATTACCACACCGAATGAGAGATGAAGTAGAAAATTTGTCGTTTTTTCACAGTGAAGACAATGTTGAAAAAGTTTGGAGGGATTTGCGCGAACTCCTGACTGAACTAACGAAAAAGTTTGTACCATTAACTAACCTCGATCCAGAGTGTAGAAACAACTTATTATTCACCAATACCACTCGACAGGCAATCAGAGAAAAAAAGAAATACTGGAAAAATTGGAAAAATAGAACAACAGCAAACTATGACAACTATAAAGAAAAAGAAATGCTGTTAAGACAGCTACACGAAATGATCAAAAGGCAAAGAAAGTGAAATAGCTAAAGATGTAAAAATGAAACCAAAAAAAATCTGGAGCTATGTGAGACAGGAAACCTTGTTACAAAATGCAATACCAGCTTTAGTGCAGGATGATGGATCTTTAACGACCAATGAGATCGAAAAAGTTGAACTTTGTCAAAGTTCTTTTCATCAGTCTTCACACACGAACCGCCAGGAGAATGGAAGATTCCAGATTTGGATATCACCCATCCAATAAAGGACTTAGAAATAACAGAGCAATTGGTGAAAGAGCAACTAGACTCACTCAATACATCGAAATCTCCAGGGCCCGACGAAGTTCACCCGAAACGTCTGTTTAAATTGAGAGATTTCTTGACTCAAATTCTAACAAAAATTTTAAACAAATCTTGGGACGAAACGAAGCTACCTCAAGATTGGAAACTTGCTCACATTGCCTCTGTCTTCAAAAAAGGGGAAAAAATCGTTAGCTGACAATTATCGTCCAGTAAGCTTAACATCAATAGTTTGTAAAATAATTAGAGCCCATCTGATGGAGCATCTAGAAAAAAATGAAATCCTTGTAAATGAACAGTTTGGTTTCCTGCCCGGTAGATCATCGCAATTACAACTACTGAGAGTGCTGGATGATTTCACAAAAACAATTGATAGTTGACGAAAAATGGATGTTATCTACTTGGAATTCAAGAAAGCGTTCGACTCGGTTCCGCACAAAAGACTGATAGGAATCCTAAAACAATATGGAATAAAAGGAAAAACACTGGGCTGGATCAACGAGTTTTTATTAAACAGACGTCAAAGAATTGTGATAAAAGACAGTAGATCTGAATGGAAAGATGTTCTGAGTGGGATTCCCCAGGGGTCTGTACTGGATTCTGTTTTGTTTGTAATATATATAAATTCAATGCCAAACGCAGTCAAATCAAAATTGTATTCATTTGCAGACGATGCAAAACTATACAGAGAAATTACCAGCGACAAAGACGTTGAATTGCTCCAAGAAGCTCTGAGAAAACTGGAAGAATGGTCAAAAAATAGTGTTTTACATTTTAATGAAGATAAATGTGTAAGTATGATAATCTCAAATGGAAGATCAATATGAACTTTACGATAAACAGATTAAAACAGTAGTAGAAGAAAAAGACATTGCTGTGATCATCGATTGTAAACTCTCCTTTGACTCTCATATCTTTGCAAAAGTTGAAAAGGCAAATTCTATCATTGCAGTTTTCAAGAAAAAATTCATTAAAATGATTACCTGTGTTTTTAAATGTTTATAAAGGACTCATTTGGAGTTCTGTAATCAAGCCTGGTACCCGCGATTAAAGAAGAACACAAGATTAATCGAAAATGTGCAACGACGAGCGACACGATTGGTACAAGGTCTGCAGACACTAAGCTACAATGAAAGGTTAAAGAAACTAGACCTACCGTCACTTGAATACCGCAGAAGACGAGGAACAATGATCGAAATGTTCAAAATAAGTTACAACCGTTATGACCCGAAAGCTACAAAAGGCATGTTCGAATTGAATAATCGTGACACAAGGACAAATGACAAGAAAGTGATAACGAAGAAGGCCAACTTCGAATTGCGGAAATACTTTTTTACCATCAGATCAGCTACAGATTGGAATATGTTGCCAGGAGAAGTAATTGACTCGAAGACCTTGAACGCTTTCAAGAACAACCGGGAAAAATGTTGGAAGAAAAGCGAAATTAATAAACTTGAGACGAATTAAACGAAAAGGAGTAGATCATGAGCTGATCGATAGAGGCGACAAAACGCCTAAAAGATCAGAAAAACAACTGAACTGAACTGACTTTTATACGGGACCACTGGTAGTTTTTCGGGACCTTACTTTTAAACTAGGTTTTTGACTATGACCATACTTTTAAACTATGACCATACTTCAAAAAAAGTACCGTTATAGCGTCTTCATGTCCTCTCGTCTGATTTACCTAGCACCTGTGGTTCAATTCACTGCAAAATTGCTGCAGCCTTTTCGGATGTCACCAGTGACAGTGACTCCAATGTGTTTACCACAGTAATAGCAGATTTTTAATTGAATTCAGCTATTAATGTTTGTGCATGTTGCTATTTTTAGATGATTACTAGAATGGAAACCATTTCTTGTATGGTTTTTGGCTACAAATTCCTCATGTTTTTGTTGATATTTTTGTCTTCTTTGCTGATACCCAATATTGGCGACATCATCGAATTGAGTATAAATGGAGAAATTGACGCGTTTCAGCCGCCAATGAACCTATCCGATAGCAATTATTTCATTCTGTTTGAAGGTTTCACCAAGTGGGATTCTCAATATTTTGTTTTTATCTCAAGATATGGCTATCTCACTGAAAAAATATTTGCTTTTTTCCCATTATGGCCTTTATTGTTATCTTTTTCAAATGTCGTTATGGGCGAATCACTTTTGCTGCTGTTAGTTTGGGGAACTATTTTGAATTTGTTGTTAGCTTGTACAATTACACATACACTGATATCATTGGTGTCTGAAATTTACCTTGAATTAAAAAACAAGTATATAGTAATTATACCATTTCTTCTTAATCCCGCTGGAATTTTCTTTCATGTCTTTTATTCTGAAAGTCTTTATCTCTGCCTAGTCTTACTTGCAACATTGAAGCTAATAGAGGGAAATGATCTGTGTGCTGCACTATTCTTTCATTTAGCTTCTTGGACCAGGGCTAATGGTATTGTAAATAGTGGATTTTTTCTTTTCGCAATTTTAGTCTTAACTTTGAAACGCCGAGCCTTAAGTAATCTGTGCAATTATTTGAGACTGTCTGTGTATGTTTTCATATCTGTTGTACCGTTTGCGTTGTTTCAATGGTATGCTTTTGTTAAGTTTTGCTCAAAAGCTGGAAATATTTCTAAGTCCAACTATGACATCGAAATTTATTTAAGAAAAAATCAGCTGTTTGAGGAAGGTGTTTGGTGTAAAGAAAAATTACCAGTTGTGTATTCTTACATTCAAGAAAAATATTGGAGAAATGGTTTTCTGAGATACTACACTTTAAATAATATTCCCAACTTTTTTCTCGCAATTCCACTGATCTGTTTTGTTCCCTACATCTTCTGGATTCACAAGAAATTGATTACCATTACTGCTAGAGCGCCAATATGGGCGGCGAAAAACATGAGCCGCGTTGATGCAATCAAATTTGCAGCTCTAGTTCAGTTAGCATTTCTTTACGCTTTCTCTGTGCTGTTCATGAATATACAAGTTATGACGCGTTTCATTTTTTCATCATGCCCGATTGTTTATCCCACGATATCAAAAATAGTACTGGATGACATGAAAATCGCCAAGTTCAACACGAATGGTCTTAATTTTATCCAAGATATTTTTTCTAGTCGATTTAGAAGCTTGCGTCTTAGGACCAAACTCATGATAATATGGTGCATTTCCTATAATATTCTTGGATTGATTCTACATCCTAATAGGCTTCCCTGGACTTAATTTAAGAGTAAGTGACAACTTTATTTCGTTCAAATTAGATTGTACGGTTATTTAGCTTGACTTTTTTGCTTCAAAGATTCATTTAGCTTGGAGATTTTTTGCTATTAAGATTCAACCTTGAAAATGCTTTTCAGAGCTAGACATGTCAGATGATTACGATTTAGTTTATACCTCCTCTCTCAAACTGAAGCAAGAGGGAGGCAAAGTGGGTAAGAAGAAGAAAAAGAAGAGCAAACCGGTTCAGCAATTACCCCCATCTGTCACCACAAAACCTACAACCTGCTCATCTTCTTCCGATCCAGTCGCAGCATCCAAGTGCGTAAAGACACGGATAATTGTCCGTAGTTAGTTAAATTTCAAAAAAAGTTGCATTTATAAATTTTAATTGCAATAAATTTAAGTTTACTGGCGACATCATTTGTCCTGGAAAGGAACCTCAGGGATAGTCAACGAGAAAATTGATTCGAGTGAACGAATTATTATATCAAAATTATACGTACAATTTTTGTCTGAATAGTTGCCCGTTCAAAAACCCCCGAAAATGCAAAAAAGAGAGAAAGGATAATAAATTATCAAAGTGTCATTTTTACTGTTTTTATCCGACTGCTTTTGTGACTTAAGTATAATTCGTTAATATTTGTTTTTCAATTTTGCGTAGTTTGCATAATTTCTTATGGCAATTTTGAATAGAATGAGATATGTCGCGAACTAAAGATCATTCAATACTACTTGTTAACATCAGTCAACTTTGTGCAATCGGGTACTAGAGTTTTTCCCGTTAGTTACTTTGTTCACAGGATGACTGAAATTAGCTGTCATCTTCAAATCTGTTTTTTTTTTCGTATATTAACAGACGAAAATGTGAACTTTCGTCAACTAACACACAAATTTTTTGTTTTTGTTTGAGTTTTCTCTCTTAATTTGTTTTATACTATATGGGCGTATCAGCTTCATTTTGAGTTGTTTGATAATTAAAAAAAGGTTTTCTCAATGTTTTGAGGAGGGATTTGAAAACTTTTTCAATTTTGTAGTTTTTGTGAACAATTTTTTCTCGTTAAGTTAAGTTGTCTTGTTAAGTTTGATCTTGATGCCAATTTAACGTTTAACTGTCTTTTTTAACGTTATTTTTTTTAAAGGAACTTCAAATTTATTTTACTGGTTTCTCATTTTCTGTCAGTTAATTTGTCATGCTATGTTAGAGTTTTATCACAAGTGGTGCAAAATTTCGCTTCGCCCGCCTACCTGCTTATACCAAAATTTTGGTGGGGGAGAACAATGTTTTCATTGTGAAAAAAAATCGAGTTATTGAGTTTTTTGAATTTGAAAAAATTATATTAATTCGATTAGCTTTACAATTATATGTGCGCTCGCTCTGGCAACTTTATATCTTTCGATAATTTTTTCTTAGATTCTGATTTTGCAGATTTTCTGGCACTGTTTGCCCTATTTTGTTTCAGGACTACTCTCGAATATCAGACTAACTGACAAAAGGCACACAAAGGCTGCTGAGTTGGCTCTCAAAACGTTTAGTTTTTTTCTCATTTATAATAGTTTGCTCAAGATTTCCTCCTAACCAAAAGGCTTTGTTGTTGCTATTCAATATCACAGATTCTTAGTTTTAGATAGATTAGTTTTAGATACTGTTGGTAGATACTAATTTTTTTTGTCATTGACTAAAAAATTAGCCAATTTTGTTGAACAGATTGGCACGGAAAATAGAGCTGTGGTAAAAATGAGCTGTGGTAAAAATGAATCGAAAAAAAACCTCCTGCTTGATTTCAGAAGATCTTGGTGTAGGCCTTAAAGGTAGTGCTTTTGTGCAAATAAGTATCTTTTCATATAAACTAAGTAATTTTCTGTCAATACAAGTTGAATCTGGCCGAGATGAAAAACTTTCAAGCTTCGAGCTTCGATAGTCTTCAACAACACATAAGATAACATATTTTTTTAGTATCTGATTTTGGATAAAATATTATCATAGATTTGGGTAGGTGGCTGACATTTTGGTTCATTCGAGTGAAGTTTACTTTTGTAGTTTTTGTTTTATTTTAGCCTTGCTCTAGGAAAAAAAACGGCTAATTGCACCAATATAATTAAGTTTTTTGGCAAAAAAAATTAAGAAAATTAATATATATTTTTAAAAACAGTCAAGAATATATAGTTGAGATCAATCCTAGTTGTAAATTTTTTTACTTTTGTGCTATTAGATGTGATTTCATTCCATTTGTGCTATTAGATGTGATTTCGGCTGCGCGCAACCATAATTGTTCTATTGACAGACTCATTTATAATTACTTTATAATTTCTGTATCACAAGACTACGTTTTTTTTGTGCTGAAATATACTTAATTTGCACTAATGAAAAAATTGCAGTCGTATGCTGTGCTAAATTGTGATAAATGACAGAAAAATGAGAACTGAAAGTTTTTTCGGCATAATGCACGAATAGTTATATTTCGGTAGAGTTCAGCCTGTTTTCATGGTTATTTTGGGAGAGCACAACTCATTTTTTTTCAGGCGAAATCGATGGTCTGTTTCAAAAACATAAATTGTTGTTAGTTAATATTTAAATAAAATTTATTGTCAACTATCGGTTGTAACTCTGAGGTGCTAATTTTCTTACCATGGCTGACTGTAACTGTAACTATATTTGACCATAATCGTTGAACTGTTGTGAGCAATCGATGGTCTTTTTGCTATATTTAACAATATGTAGCATTGCAAACTTCATCGCCTATGTTCTGGTCGAAGGTTCAACGCGGCTTTTAGCACTGTTTTTTTTCATATTTGGTGGCCTTTTTGCTGTTTCCATCGGTAGCTAGTGTTAGCTTACGTTGAAGAGCCCGTGGCGCAGATGCGAGAGTGTGAGACTCCAAGTTTTCTCAATCGATTGCGGTAATCGTTGACTTCATTTTACTCTAGCGAGCATAATGTTTTAGTATGGTTGTATTTTTTCCAAACTAACTGTTTTTTTGCCATAATCAACTATATGTAGCATTTCAAGCTTCATAGCCTATGTTCTGGTCGGAAGTTCAACGAGGCACTTAGCACTGGTTATATTCATATTTGGTGGCTTTTTGCTGCCTCATTAGTAGCTAACTTGGAAGAGCTTGTGGCACAGATACGAGACTGTGAGACTCCAAATCTCGATGCCGCAGGTTCGAAATTGGACCCATCAAAAGGTTTATTTTTACTTTTTTTAAATTCTGTTATAGAGCTGCTTTTTTATAGTTTTCTCGCTTGTGTTAACGCGATGCAGCTTCGCGTTTTGTAAAAATTTTGGTGCTCCATTTGCCGGGTTTGTCGTTTTTTTGCGAAGTGAAATTTCGAATTTAGGTAATTTTTTTTTGATGATAACTGCTGTTGGAATGTTTAATTCTACTTGCACAGCCAACTACTGCAATTCCACAAATAACAAATTTTTTTAATTGGTTACAAGATGTTTCTGCATAAGATTTTTCTCTTTTTTTTCTAGCACTTTGAAGTAAAAGGTGACTCAGGAGCTTAAGAGGTGGACGGGAATAAGTAAAATCAGTTTTTGTTGAACAGATTTATTAATAGTTATGAGTTTTCATCTTGTTACACAATAGCGGTTTTTCATGGAACAGTTTCATCGGTCACCTTTTTTGGCCCTTTAATAATAGCTTCATAATGAATCAACTTTGTGATAGAGCGGGGATTGTAAAGCATGCCTTAAGTGTTTTAATGCGGGCTTTGTATAATAATCTGGTATAATAAGACATCAGACGTTTTTTTGTTGAAGTAAAGAGAAGTTTAAATGCACTAAACAAGACTGCAGTCCACTGTTGTGCTAAATTTTGATAAATGAACGAAGAATGAGACCTGTAATTTTTCTCGCCAGTGGGCACGGATAATTGTTTCGGTAGAGCGCACCATTTTTTCTGTTTTTTTTTTGGCAGATCATCATTTTTTTCTGATTTTTTTGACAGCGGACCCATTTTTATTTAATTCAGGCGAAATTGGAACCACAAATAATCTTCAGTTGGGACCGAGTGATAAATCATTAACACTTTATCATGTGGCTGTTGGCTATGCTCTTTTTGGAGAGCTTGAAACTGAGCATGGAATATCAAGAGCTTCTCGTTAGTTGATAATTTCTCTCCGTTCTTGCCGATGTTTTCAGACTGGTTTTCTCTAGTGGCTAACACATTTAACTTAATGTCTACAAGTTCGGGTTCCATTCCCACTGAAATCATTTTTGTTTTGTAAAGACAGACTAGTGGAAAGTAAACCGGCGACCTATTGTAATATATCACCAAAAAGCCATCGATTTCGATTTTTCCTAAAAACAATTGGAAACAATCATGTTCTTAATAATTTGAATTCATAGATGAAAACAACCAAGTTCTACACAATTTTGAATGTATTTACGACCAGGGGCGGATTATGGGGTTCGACCCCCTCATTAAACAAAGGGTCCCCCCTTTAGTATTATTTTTTGACATCCATTTTCGGCTTATCAACCCTAAAATATTCTGAAAGCGCCTTCGACGCCAATATATACTTATTTTTAATGGGTGCGTGCGCCGAAAAAACGCAGTTTTTTTCGGTCAAATTTTTCTAAAAATTTCCTAAAAACGTGGCGGCAAAATTTCTGTCAAAATAGGGTTTTTTTAGTCTTCTGGGATCGCTCAAAGTCAATTTGTTCGACCGAAAAAGGTCGACAAAGTTTTTTGAGAATTTTTTGAAAATACCCCACCTTTGGGAATTTTTTGAAAATACCCCACCCCCTCGAAAAAATCCCCCACCCCGCCCCTGTTTACGACACCAATGAGTTTTTATTTTTCAAATTTTTTGTTTTTATAGCGGCCTAACGAACAATTGACTAAAGGAATATAACTAGGCGGTTACTGAGCATAAAGTTTTCTGGCAACAGTTGTTTCACCATTGCTTTTAATAATTGCTAGAAAACTATTCTCACGATCAGATGATATAAACCCAGATCAACAAAACTGTAGAAATCATTATTCGTTTTAACAGCCGCTGTCGTAGCATTTAGTTAGGTTTGGTTCAAACAGGTTTTATGTTTTTCGCAGGTCCGACAAGACGAAGGCTGAGCTAGCTTACGAAGAAGAGATGGAGAAACGGAAGATGCAAACTATGTTGAAACGAGCAGAAAAGACATACAAGCAAAGAATCATGGAGTTCAATGAAACATTAAACAACATGACTGAGTTCTACGACATTCAGAAAGTCAGCTGGACGAAATAATAGCAGATAATTCTCGAAGATGCAATACTGAAGCGCAAAAGATTTCCTTGTCGTAACATGACTGTGATTTCATTTAAAATATCTGTAGTTTCGTTAATATAAAATAGTTGTATAAAATAAAATTTGCTTGTTTTAAACTTTTGAACTGACTATGTTTTTCGCTGACGTGACATAGAATAATTGGATTTTCTCACATTTTGGTAGTTTTTATGAAATGCGATATTGTAAGTAAAACTTCTAAAATTTCAATAAACAAGCAGGCGATTTTAATGAGGAAAATACAAAATCTGCGACATCCTATTTGACAATGCTGGAGCTTAGTGTTCTACAACCATAAGATCATGCAATAATTTTCTTTAGGCGTCGAAGATCAAATGATTTGACCAAAAATGTCAAAAATGATTTTTTGCTTGTAGATTTCAAAAACATACAGTGCAATATTTGGGAATTCATTAGTATCATCGGTCCTGCTGAGTGCAGGGCCAACATTGAGGGAGGGCAGGGTGATGTCATCCATTTTGCCGAAGCCGGTCTAACCTTGAGAAGGTGGATGATACTGGGACCCCTCCAACCGTGTCCGAAGTGGGCTTCGAACGCATCTTATTTGTGTTGAGAGACGTGTGCCTAACCCACTCGGCAACGGCTGCTCGATAATTGGGAATCCAAAGCCTTACCTTTTTTTAATTGACGTAATTGAACATCATTGCCAATATTACCGAGCCTGTAAATCAACTATTTCAGGGAAAAAACATGCCACCCTCTATTGATGATGATGAGATATGCTCTTTAGCTTTAGCGAAGATCAGAGAAAACTTCGCAAGCTCAACAAATGAACCTGCTCTCCAACTTGACAAGTTAGCCTTCAACAGTCAAACGGCAAGGTCAATAGATCCAGGAGTTCCCATTCAGTCTTATTTAGATTTTGACAACCCCTTGGACCCAACTGCAAATTGTCCTACACCACTGGATGCGAAATTGAAAGAATTAATGGCCAAAAGTGTGATAAACGATCCTAATTTCTACAGAACAGAACCACTGAATGTTCACAGGTCGAAACGAGCTATCAAGAAATTGCGACAAGAAGTGCGTGAAAAAACAGCTGGTAAAAATTGGTTCAATTTCAAAGCACATGAGTTGAGAGATGAAGATACTCTTGATCGAGAATTAATGCGAATGCGTGACGTAATTTATAACAAGAAGGTGTACAAAAGAGGGGCACTGAAGAAAGACAGCCAATCGAAATTCGTCCAAGTTGGTACCTGGAAAAAGTCACCTTTGGACCATTATTCGCAAGAATTTAGTGCTAAAAACAGAAAGAAGACGTTAGTTGAAACTCTAATGGCGGATGCCGATTTCAAAAAACAGAATAAAGAAAAGTATTTGGACATGGTGAAGAAAAGAAGTAACTACAAGCGTGTTTCTTCTGTCGGTGGTAAAACAAGCCACTCGGCCAAGGGTAAAAGAGAAAGTAAATCAGACTTGACCGTTCCTAGAAGTGGGAGGCAGATCAAAGGAAAATCCAGACAGTCCGAGACATGACAGGCTTAGTTGTTCCAGTGTGTTAGGGAATCGTCGGTGCTTGGGGGTAAATGCGCTATAAGATTTAAATATTGCGCAACGGATTAAATCTACGCCAATTTAGAGCAACATTGGAGCATTGCATTGTCTTCAGTTCCATATAAAGCCCAAAAGGAATGTCTTTGCTTAATTCCATGAGTCAACACAACTTCTGGGCTTAGCAAGCTGTGAATAAAATGAGCTAAACTGACTTGTTCTGGATATCATGTTCAAATAAATCTAATAATCTTTTGTTTTGTCAAGAGTCTTATCAAATTTTTTCGACCTAATTAGAAAAACAGTTCACTCCAGGGGCGGATTCGACCCCCTGCCTACCCCAAGGTTCTACATTTTGCTACTGTTTAAGAAATCCATTTTTGGCCGACCGACACTAAAATTTTTCTAAAGGCAAGGCGCCTTTGGCGCCAATATATACGAACTTTGAGGGGGAGCGCGCGCCAAAAAACCCTATTTTTTGTTGTCAAAATTTTCCAAAAAGTGCCCAAAAACAGCTTTTTTGACCTGTTTTTTTTTAAATTTGCTTGCGGCGCAAAAAATTTGGTCAAAACAGCGTCTTTAAATGCTTTAGGAAAGCTCGGAAAACCAATTTTCGCGTATTTTTTTTTGAAAATCCCCCCCCCCCCTCGAGAAAATCCTAGATCCGCCCCTGGTTCACTCTTAACTTTTTTCAAAGTCCTTTTCTTTAGTTTTCAATGGTGCCAGAAACCAAAATACAGAAAATTTTTAATTTTCTAGATAGTTTTCAATTTTTCTTTTCCTGTTTTTCTTGAAGTTTTTTTGAAACGAACAGATCTGCTTGTCCTTTTGAATCTTCAGATGCCGGTTTTTGGAATCAAATCTCAACTGATTTTGATTGTGAAAAAGAGAATGATTGTTGATCAATTATGAAGCAGTAAATTTGTTTTTTTTTTATTGCTGAGTGTTTTTTAGAGTGGGATGGGCGAATCCTCCTCGGACAGTAGCAATCTGTCCATACGAGAACTGACTCGCAAGATATCAGAGCTAGAGGCCACCATATCCACACATAAGAATGATAAGCAGAGCTTCAATGAAGAAGTGACCCAGCTCAAATTCCAGCTATCAGTGCTGAGAGACCAGATGCTGGACACTGAGGAGCTAATCAGAAGGACAAATCAGCTGGAAAAAGAGAAAAGTAAGGAACTTTCGTTGTTCAAACGTGATCACGAAGCACTCAAACACAGGTGTAACATGCTGGAAAAACAGATCGAATACAGAGACGAGAAGCTAAAGGAGCTGGGAGTATTCATTAATTTATCTGGTAATTTCGAAACACTTTCGCCAAATGATATGACAGATGGTAGTTCGGATGCGGCGAACACGAGTATGGACTCGACTGCTGCTCGAGATGACGTCATCAGTCGACTGCAGTCAGAAGTTAAGTCGTTAAAATTGGATTTGCAGATTGAGAAGACACGGAACCAGAATTCAGAATCAGAAAAGGGATCAGGGGACAAAAAGATAGCCAATCAGACTCCAAATGGTAATGGAAGTAGTACAGGTGGAGGCAATCTTCAGGTGAAAATGAAAGAACTTGAATTCAAAAACACTCAGTTGGAGAAAGATAAGGAGTTTTTGCAGAACAATCTGACAATAGCTGAGAAGGCGAGAGATCGGGAGAAAGCTAGGAGCTCAGAGCTAGACGCATCAGAGGAAAAACTGAAGAATGAATTAAAGGCTGTTAAGAAAGATTTCAAGAAGCTCCAACTTGATTATCATGATTTAGAATCCATGAACAGTACATTGAAGAAGAAACTGGAAAAGCAGTCCAAAAAGGGGGGACTGGTAAATTAAAAGTGATGCGATAATAAAAACAATGGATTAGAATGTTTGGATATTTTTATTTTAACTTAAATTTCTAAACACCACTCACACAGAGAAAGCTATTCATTAACAATAACCCACTTTATGTGCTTATGTCGTTATAAATTGTTTACTACGTCGATTTGAGGCGCTACTTTCAATTTCCAGGAATAATCAAGGGAAGTAAATGATGAGCTGCCATTTAAATATGCATAAATTGTTGTTAGTTAATATTTAAATAAAATTTATTGTCAGCTATCGGTTGTAACTCTGAGGTGCTAATTTTCTTACCATGGCTGACTGTAACTGTAACTATATTTGACCATAATCGTTGAACTGTTGTGAGAAGCCATTCTCACAAACCTCTTGTGTCTTAAATACTCTGCTCTCATAGATTGGAATTTTGATACAAATAACAGTGGGGTGGGCATTTTTGTTTATTTTCTACTTCGAAGTGAAAAGGTGCTCTGCGAAAACTAGAAAAAAGATGAACAACCTGTTGATTGTGAAAATCAAAAGATGAGGAAAAAATTTGTAGATGTCATCATAATTCATGGAGCAGCCCCGCGAATGAACGCGCTACTATTTAATGTGATTCCAATCCAATTATTGTTGATGATCAAATTTGTGACTGATTCCTAGTTTGTGATTTTTGTTGTTGCTTCTAGGTGGGGGGTTCAGGTCCGATGCGCTCACTTTAGAAATTTTAGCACAACTTCATTAATCTGAATTTTTTGTATCTTTGGTATATATTTTCTCAACAGTTCAAGTGTTTTGAAAAACTATTCCTTGCGAAACCTATGATCCGACCCTGGGTGCATCAACATCAGTGGATCAAACGCGAGTCATCTTACATCATAATTTAAATTTGCCTATCGATCAAGGACCATTAAATTTATAAATAATTAGTGTAAGTCACTTTGCTTCCTTTATCTCTTAGTCTCTGTTGTTCAAGATGATATTTTTTGGCAGAATTGATTTTTGCAATTCAGATTTTGTTACTCCTCTTTTGCAAAAAGTGAATGAAGAAGTGTTTTCGCTCGAATGAAATTACCTAGCCAGGATGGAACAAGTATGACAGCAGCAACCTACTCAGAGAAAAGTAGCGAGGATCAAATGAATCATAGTAGTCTTTCAAGTTACTAGTATAAATAATCTATTCATTTTGGCATACGATTGATAATCGCCTGTTGAACCATTTCTCGCAAACAGGTAAGCAATTATAACATATGGTTGAGTTTTATTTCCTATTCTGTCTGAGTTCTGCTTTAGTGTACCTGAAAACACCAGCAAACGTTTTCCGGCTTTTCAAAATAGCTATGAAACTGGTAGCTTTTACACCAATCCTTTTATATGCCGCAAAAAAACTTGCGAAAATTGTTTTTTTGTCCTATTCGAAAGAAGAGGACAGAAGACTAGCTTTTTTCACATCTTTTTCAAAGTATATCAAAAAAGCTTCCAACGATAAAGTTCCTGTACGTTAATGCAAGGTCATTGGATAGGCGCTTTTCTACTTCCATCTACATCTGAATTTCAGTCTTGAAAACTTAACTTTACTTAATAATGTTATGAATGTTTGCATGGTGAAAAAACGAACTGTTGTGAATACATTTGATCTTCATACCGAACATAACGTAACGCATTCAGTCGTAATAGCACGTAAACCAACTATAAAAACGCCAATTTTGAAATGCGGGGGAGGGGAATAAAAAACCCTGCGATTATTTTATCTATTTTGGAGACTTTAACTTTACAGAACGACCAGTTTTTACTGGCGCTATTCGAATAATTTCTAACGAATGGAAGACTTGCTGCCCAAAAAACGCAAACCGTTTGTCTATGACCATAAATTTAAGTGTCAATGAACGTAGTGAAGATGCTTATTTAGATCGTAATGACTTTTTTTTGCAGTCTGACTTGACTTGATATTTTTGTTCCGACTTTAGAAGAAAGTGAGGACTATTTGTGCTTGGTGTGGTTTTTTATTCCGTCAATTTTCGACTTGTTAACCTAGCTTTTTTGACGAAATTTTTTTAATGCCATCTAAAAGATTTTGTTATTTTAAGCTCAAATTAAGAAAGACATTTCAACTGTGATCAATTTTTATCAATTTTTATTAAGTTACGGGCGTTTGAAATTTCTAAATTGGCCAATTTTGGATAATTAAAGTGCGATATATTGCGTACTTATAACGCGCCTAAGCGAATTAATGCGTTCCGAATAAAATTGAGGCCAGCAATGTAATCCTTTTATCACAATACGAGACGCTAAATAGACCTAGTTTCTTACATAGCAGGTGGGGGGATAAAATCAAGAAACAATGACAAAAAAAGCTCATGGTTTCTCAATTATTTTGTCAGTTATTCAACCAAAAGACTTTTCAATTGGCCCTAAGTGCAGTCGGAAATTTAGGGCTTTGCCCTGATAAACGAACAGTCTTGTTTAAATTTTATTTAATTTCTGTTAAAAGGAAGGTAAACTCAAGCAAAAGTGTAAAGGGCACTAAAAATTTCGTTTCGAAAATGGATTTTGTTTTGTTTCTCCAATTTAGTAAATGGTTATCAAGAAAGTTAATCATAAATTGTTTTTGAATTTTGGAGGGATTGAAGAGCATATATTGTTTTTAATACTAACGAACGCCATGATGGCTCTTATGTAGGTCTTGTTGATTTTTTGTTTGTTGGTTTTCAGGAAAAAGCTACACTTTGTTCATGCTGAATTTCGATTTTTCGCGGTTTGACTTGTGATTTTTTCTAAATTCAGTGCATTTCCATTGTTAAAAGGAAGGCAAACTCCACTATCGAACAAGAAAAGTTGCTAGGCCACGAAACACATGAGTGACTTCAGTTTCGAAAGTGGAATTTAATTATCAGATTTTCCAGCGAAATAAAGTTTTTAGCGAAATAATGTTTTTAGTTATTGATCCAGTTTTCCCAAATTGGGTTATTTTTATGAAACAATTGTCATTTATAAATTTTTCTAGAAATTCAAAGAAGTTTAAGGGCATCTTTTTTTCTTGGAAATTCGAAGGCTGGTGTTTTCAAAAAACAAGTCAGTTTTTTTCTGTTTCTTTGCATTCATTACTCTTTTCCTACTGTCAGTTGGCTGTTTTAATTTTAAACTCAATGCACCATCTGGCGTTGGGTTGAAACATCTGCTGGCGACGGCAAAAGCTCGTTGTTTGATTCCTGCTGGGACCTTTTTTCGCGCAAACTAGAATTTTTCGGGCATCTTGTACTATCGTCGGTCTGTTCATTTTGATGGCCTTAGTTGCAGTGTTCAGGCATTTTTGAAAGTTCAGTTTTGTACCAAGTTGCTGTAACACCCATGCTGAAGATGAGAAGGACCGTGAGTCGGAATCCAAGCGGTACCTGTTTTAATGTAAACTGAAAATATCGGGGCGATTTTAGATTATTGTCTGTTTGCTTATTTTTATCGGCTTAGTTCCCGCAGAAAGGATTTCGTTTTTTTTCTTCAAAAAATTTTGAAAGTTACTTGTAAAGTTTCCAGCTGGCGTGTTTTTCCGGATATATGTTTTTTTTTAACAATTTTAAACCTTTTTCCTTTAATTTTAATCATAGTCGTTCATTTCTGTGTTGTGAGTGTGTTGTTTTGTGTGCGACGGCCTTTTATCTTGAAATAGGGAGCTAGAAAAGCCTAGTCTTCTGAAAAAACTTCAGCACGTTCTCGGTGGTCGTCTGCAGCAGTTTCAAGTCCGGTTGGTTGCCGAGGCAAGTCTTTCTCTCGGCCTCCCATCGTGGGCAGTAAAGGAGGAAATTGTGGTTCACTTTGCAGTAGAGTTAGTTTGATAGGTCAATCTGTAATCAAATTCCTGTCAGCCTTAATCCAATTTCTTCCACAAAACCAAACTGGGGCTTAGTTTTGGAAAAAATAACGAGCTTTGCCAGATAAATGTTTTCTATACGTTTTGAGATACTTAGGTTATCTATAGCAAAGTATAGGACCTTTTCAAAATGATGCTGTGTAAAATTCTGTTTTTTAAAGTTGATTTCCTCTCATCACTTGCGAGAGCAAGTGACTTGTAATTGGGACACCAGACTTTTTTCCCGTAAAAACTTTTTTAAAAGTTCCGCAGCCCAATTTCTGCTGCTGCTCATACAAGCTGAATTTCAGTAAAATTCAAATCAACGATCCAGTAATTATTTTTCAAATATATTTATTTAAAAAATGTTGATGGCATTCGGACTTTTGGTTTTCGTCCTGAATTCTGTCGACTAATTTTCGTTTTTTTTTCTAAATCAATTTATACTATCTGTTACGCTGTTCAAGCAGTTTCTCTTCCAAAGCTTAGATTTTTTTATTTTCGATTCAAATGGTTTTTACGAAAAAAGAAAATTTTTCAGTCATTTGTAATTAAATAACTCTGATTTTGAATAACCTAATTTATTCATTTTTTGCGGTTGAACAAGTTCAGTTTATCGGCTTAATCAAATTATGTTGCGTTGTGTCACGGGCAAAGCTTCTAAATTGCTTCTGCCGGTCGTCCCAGGTTTTTTCGCCTTATTGGCCACTCGGTCATTGATTCTCAGACAAAGGTTTGAAATTACAGATATAGTTTTTTGACTTCTTTCAAGTACTAATTTTATCAGCCTGAGTTTCAAAAAAAATTGCTTCCTTTTTTCTATTCAACATGCTGTAATGCAATGTTTTAATTGTCTCGCAAGTGTTGTAAAGCTCAGCTTCGATTCTGTAGTAAACAATTTTGAAAGGAAAACACCAGGTACTAAAGTGTTTTATTTAAATAACTTGGTATTTCTATCTACAGTTTATTAATCGATAAACCGAAAAAACAATTTGAATCAACTATAGAGTAACGATTCTAAGCATTGATATACAGACCAATCAAGCAAGATTGATAATTGAGCACATAAGATCTTTTAAGGCTTACAATTGGAATTATAATTTCATCGAAAGGCGATCGTAACTCATATGGCATTAGAATATTTAGGCATTTCACTAAATGTTACAACAAAAGGGCAAATAAAACAAATCAAGAATGATTGATATGAAAATAAAACAGTTCATTGTTGATAGTATAACGATATTTCGTGATAAAGATTTATAAGAGTTAGAAATGAAACTTATGATTTTTATGAAGTATATACAAAAATAGAAATCAGAAGGCAGAATTTCGGAGAAGTTATTGCTCCACAAAGTAGCATTAGAAGTTACTGGTAGAAACATATATGTTATTTTTGTGCAGCTCTCAAAAAGTACTTCTGTAAGTTTAAAGAAGTCTCGTATGACGATTGTTAGAATTTCATTTCCATCAAGCTGTTGCTGTTAGATGGCTTTCGTCGCAAGAGGTTGCCAGAAGGCTTGAATCTGAATTTGACACGTGGTGCGAATGTTTGTTGGCGACATGCCACGATAGCAAATTGGTAGACGAGAAGGTCACATTACACAAAGTGCACTTGTAAGGCAAGTTTTCTCCATGGGCAAGTTTGATATGCTGATTTAAGCGGCAATTGAGGGTGAATTTGGAAGAACAATACGGGCATTGGAACCTTCTCTCTTTGTGTACTTTGACGTGGAGGTTCAATTTGTACTTGGAAGCAGACGTGTAAGAACAGTCGGGGCACTTGAACGGGTTACCGGCATTGACGTGGTACTGTAAATGTACTCTAATATGGCTGCTTTGTATGAACTGTTTGCTACAGTATCCACACTTGAAAGGTCGCTCGGCGTTGTCCGTCTTTATAATGGCTTCTTCCTCAGATAAAACTTTGATTGGTTTTGCAATCAAAGCTCGAACTTCTGAGGCCGGTTCTTTGAGGTCAACTGGACTTAAAGACAGATTAAGAGGTTCTGAAGCTGCGGAAGAGACATTAGGCTTAGAAAGATCCCATCCGTTGATATCCTGGTTGTCGATAGTCGTGTCAGCATTTTGGTCCATTGTCAGATCTAAAGCTTCTTCGTCATCAGATTCCTGGCTTCCTTGGTTAATTGAAGTACGTGTCATATTGAGAGCTCCCGAGTCGTTGCGACTACTTTGATCTTGGCAGTCACTTTCGGCTTTGAAGAGCAGGTTGTCGAAAATGGAAGACATCTGGTTTTGAATCGCATCTACAAAAGTCGGCTCCAGTGGTGACTGGATTTTATCGGCTGAAGGCGATACGAAAGACGAGCCGGGGGATGTAGAATGCTCGGAATTTGTTCTGGCAGAATATTGAGCAGTTGAGAAAGCAGATCTGTAATCATTCAATTTGATTTTTGAATCCTCGTTCGGAATTTGGACTCCGAAATCCCATATATTAGATGAACTCGTGCTGATATCAGAAGGAGCTGCTTCTGGTTTTATAATCACAACGTCATCCGGGAGGTTCATGGTGGATCCAATTCCTTCCAGTCTCCCGAAATAGTCTTGTTCGTTCATTTCTAAATGTTCTTCTTCATCACTTTGTGCAATCTCTAAAGCAGATTCTTGTGTAGTTCGACTTTCTGTTCGCGAAGTTTGTTTTGAAAGTCCTGAATACGCGCTAATTGTCGACTGCTGGATCTGGTTCTTGGCAGGAATATGAAGAATTCTGGAAACTGTTTTATCTGGATGGGTTATTTTTGTAGTCATAGTTACAGTTTCACTTTTTTCACTCACGTTCACGCCTAAGTCGTTATCACCCGCTGAAGCTTTGCTGAAATCGCTTTTCGGTTTCTTTGAAATTTTGAATACATCATCTTTCATAGATCTGCTAGTTCCTGGAATCAGTGAACCGTTGTTCAGTTTGGGACACTCTTTTACGTGGTAATTGAACTTTTCCTGGTCTCTATATACAACATTACACCCTACACACATTACGTGTTCGTCTTCTTCGATCGCAATGTTTCCTCCTTTTATGGCAGTTTTGGTGTGGGTCGCAGCATGGTTCCTCAACTGGTATGGCAGCATGAATCTCTTCTTGCACAGATCACATGCGTATGGTCTTTCTCTGTGAACTTTCATGTGTCGAGTTAACTTGTAGTAGTTTGGCGACTGGTAGTCGCATAGTTCGCACTTGTAAGGGTTGTTAGCATTGCTGTGGTACTGTATATGTACCCTAAGTTGACTATTCTGAGCAAACCGCATCCCACAACTCTCGCATACGAATGGTTTTTCCCCGCTGTGTGCCCTTTGGTGCACTTCTAGAGAGCTGTGTGAATTGGTTTTGTAGTCGCATATCTTGCAGTGATATGGTGTTATTCCTTCATGCTTCATCATGTGTTTCTTCACACTTTGCTTGTACTTAAACTTCTGTTTACAGATCGGACATTCGTGTTCTTTTTCGTTGTTTTTGTGAGTCGCAACATGCTGGTTGAAAACATACAGTTTGGAAGTAACAAAACTGCAGTCGCCGCATTGAAACTTGGCAACTTCTTTGCCCCCTTTCCGCAGCAGTTTCTCGGAACCTGACGCAGATTCTGACTCGTCGCTCTGACTTTCGGTCGGTGAATCGATCATTTGGTCCATAAATGATGCGGAAGGCGTGCAACTCTCGCTTACCATTGAGCAACTTTCAGAATCGTGAGAAGCACCCGTTAAGAAGGGTTCTGTCAATCTCGCTTTGGAACCGACTTTGATTCCTTTGGTTCCAGAGCGGATCCCGACCGCGATTGCATTACTGCTAGAAATCTTCGATGGAGGCTTGGGGGCGATAGGGATTTTCACATCATCTGAATTAGTCCCTTTTCTGGAATTTTCATTTGAACTGGATCCCGAACAACTCGTTTGTTGGTTGTTCGTCAACTGATTTTGAAGAAGACTCATGAATAATGGATTCATTATGAGCCCTGAAGCCCCTTCTAGTGAAGAGGATATAGAGCTTTGAAGCTTCTGGGCAATTAACATTTGTTGGAACAACGCCAGAGTTTCTGGGTTTGCAAGAACATTTGCTAGCAGCTGGTTATTTTGGGTAGTGTCTGCTGGATTTGTCATTGATGGTTCCTTTTTTATGGTTTGCTGACTTGAAATCAAATTGTCTAGGTTGCTCACTAAAGTCTCCAGAGGATTTTTTGAAGACGCAAACGAATTCTGGGGTATTTCTTCTTCCATCATGACGGGTGAAGATTCTTCTTCGTGTGCTTCTTTTTTGATCGTCATGAGAGAACTATTTTGGTTGGTTTCTGCGTTTGAGCTCAGTGATTGGATCAAAAGTTGTAAACTGTTGCTCAACTGTGATTGGTCAGTTGATTCCGACATTGTTAACAGCCTTCAAAGTGTTTTCGAGGCTCTATTTTGCAGTATTTGGTATTCTGAGCACCTATTGGTCCTGTTATCTGAGACTGGAGTATTTGTTTTGGTCTCTGAGTTCGTACCGATGTTTCTCAAAACTAAATAAACAATCTGATTTGAGTTTGATGTAAATAAATAGTAGCCGGATATTTGCAATGATAAGACAGGTTTTCACAAGAATCCAAAAAACGGTAAATTTCCAATTTAGTTCAATTTATTTTCAATTTCAAATTCCAAGAGTGCTGAAAATTGTTGTTAATTTTGGAAAAATTGCCACAAATGAATTGTTTTCGCTGTGCGTGATTAGTAACAATGGCTTTTATTGAAATAGCAGATAAGCAATAATTGAGTCAAGACGGCTGCGCTATGAAGGAACACAGAGCAAAAAAAAAACAAAAGTACTAAGAGCGGGAGGCAGGGGAAGGGGAGCAAACGTGAGCATAGCAGCCAATAGCTCGCCGATTAGTGGCCTGTTTTTTCTGGAGAAATAGATTAAAAGTGAAAGCCAAAAACTAGCGGAGGGAGAATTGAAAACCGGCTGCCGGAGCGCTATTGAAAAATATGCGGCTTAGGAAGAATTGAAAAGCAGATGCGAACGCTACCTGAACCGGTGTTGCTAATACTTAATAGCCGATTTCTCCAATACACCGGTTGTAAATTTTAAATCCTACTTTGTTCTACAAAAGACTCTGTTTGCCATGCGAGCCAAGTGACTCCTCTGCTCAAGAGCAGTGCAAACGTCCTGGCTTCCCCATCCCCCCAATAAAATACATCATTTTTTAATGAAGTCCATTTCACTACCGAACGCTAATTTTCATTTTTTTATGTCAAATTGCAGGCTGCATTTGGTACAACATCTATCCTACTACTTTTCTCCGTTTGCAGCCTACTAAATTAAAAAGTATTTCCTGTTTCGACTATCTTTTTCTATTTTTTTGTGACTAAATTTTTGTTAATTCTGTGAAAGTTTTTCATGCTGCTAAAATATTTCGGGTCAAGTGTCAAAAATTATTTTTTTAGCGCGCTAAGTTTCTTAATCGCCTTGGACATTCCTTTGCCTCGGACAGGGTCTGATTCAGGGTTTTCTCTAGGGGGGGGGGGGGGTGGTTTTAGGTCGACCTAACTGATTTTTCGAGCTCCCAAAGCACTAAAAAGACCCTGTTTTGGCCAAATTTTCTGCGCCACAGGCAAAATGTTGCAAAAACAGGCCAAAAAAGCGTTTTTTTAGGCACTTTTTGGAAACTTTTGACAAAATGTCTTCTCAAAATTAGTAAATATTATGCCAAAGGCGCCTTTGGAAAAATTTAGGGTCTGTCAGCCTAAAATGGATATCTCAAAACAGTACAAAGGGGGGTCAAATCCCTGAAAGAAGGCTTCCGTCCGCCCAAAAAAAAATATGGCATGGCTGCACTGAAAATTCAATCAAAGGGGTAAAAAACTTTCTGGGTGTAAAGAAGGCTACGCAAAAAACTTCTGCCTGTTGCAACCTTTCTTTTGATAGATTTTGGCACCAATTTTCTAATTATCAGTAAGCGCCGAACATAATGAGAGGCAGTTGCGCGACATCACAAAATTACTCACTTCTTTTCTTCTGTCCTGCTTTTGCAATTTTATCCGATTTTCAACACGTCACTTCACATCATGAATTATGCGTGTTTATCGCCGGCTTCGAGCTCGATTGTTTGTACAATTTAGCACTATTATTGCTAAGAAACACCTGTAATTTAAGCTATATTGCTGTAATTGTGAGTGGCATTAGTAGCTAAATTCGAAATTGAAATCTGAAGAAAAAACAAAAGCGCAAACGCTCTGAGGTAGGAAATAAAAAAAGAGACGGGAAAAGATTTGGATAATGATATTTGGAGCGAAAAATAGTATTTAAAAATGTCTTCAATTGGAAATAATGCTACTAAGCTATAAAACATCTGCCACTTGAAAACACGTTTGGAATTGTATCCAATTTTCACATCTGATTAGCAGCGCACGAAAAAAAAACAAACAACAAAACGTAGCACGCTCCAGATGAGAAAAACAGGCCGAAAACCGGTGAAGTGAAACACGCGTGTGGTGTTCCCGCATATTGGCACGCCAGCAATCGTCATGTACTTTCAGTCCAGAAGCTTTGCAATTGGCGCCAAATGACAAAAAAATCCGAAAAAACGCTAATTTGCATTGACGCGTGGTTGCTTTTTTCAGTTTTTCAATGACTAAAATGAAGCAAAAAATCTTTTAAAGTCATTCACTTTAACAGATGAATTTAAAACTTTTAAATATGTTGTTTTTGAAAGTGAAGTAAATGTTAACTTACTTAGGCTAATAGGAAACGAAAGAAAAGTGTTTTTGATGCTGATAAAACTGATAAAACTTCGATATGCGCGGTGAATGAAATCACGAACTAAAATATCTATCGCAATAGCAGGAGTGTGATTTGGATTGAAGTTTGTTCGGATTAAGATTTGAAAGAGAATTGCGAAGTTCGAAATATGAAGAGAAAATCGGAGCTTGCGAGAGATGTTGTTCAAATATGCAGTGCTAACACGGCAGAGATAGGCAAACTAAAGCAAACAGCTTCGCAGACCAACCTCGCCTAAGTAGATTCACGCGCTTTACCTTTTAGCTTACCTTCTAACAGAGCGCAGGTGATGCAATAAACCAACTCCGAAGCAATACAGCTAACTAATTGCGAACGTAATGCTAATAGTGTCAAACAAGCTAACCAAATAATAATATCTAGTAGAAAATTCTCAACTTGTCGAAAGCGAAGCACTATTTGTTGCCCCAAAGCCGTTAGTGGCGTTAAAAATTTGCTTATGCGCTGGGTGATACTAGGAGTAGACGTTGTTGCTCCGAGGTCTTAAACTTCCACTTTCCAGAGGGTGCAATCTTTGCTACTAATTTTGGCACACATTGCTTGAAGATTGAGACTCAAGATTCTCTTGGAATCTTCAAAAAAAAAGTTGTTGCTGCAGAAAATTGTTTCTAATTTGGTAGTTGTCCCATTGATTTGTCAAATTAGTTTTCCTTTGATTTGTCAAAAAAAAATTGTCAAGTGGGCATTTTGAACACCTCCTTAGAAACAAAATAAACAAATTGGATTGGCTATGTCGATAAGCTGTAAGATAGGGCCGACGAAATTTGAAAGCTGCTTTGAAATCATTTCTATTTACATCAACTGTGAACTGAAAACGATAACGAAGTCCTGGTTATGTTTGAACTTCGGATGGTTAACTGCGTTTGTTAACTATCGTCAGCACCCAAATCAGTCGCAATTCATCACTATATAACTCATTACTGATTGTGGCCATATCTAACTTGGTTAAGTAACTCGATTTAGATTTTAGTCACACCATATTTTCGCCGTTAAGCTCTTAATACCAAACAAGCTTATCAGAAGGGCAACAAGAAGTTAACCCCTCTTTGCAATTAAAATCAATTTGTAGTGTTTTGATGCTAATCAGCAAAATTTGAAAAGATAACTTCAATTCTTGGATGACCTCACCCCATGAGTTGGTTTTCTTAAAAAGGGAACAAAGTGTTATATCTTGTCAATAATAAAAGATGAGTAAGTTGAATTGTTTTTCATTTTTCATTCAAAAACGGTTTCATCTCGAGTGGCGAACTCTCCAGTTCATCTCGACTGAGTTGCCTCCCAAAAGAGCCCGAGTATGATTGCAAATTTTGATAGCAAGAAACTCACAGAGCAATTAAATGTTTTGTTAGAGCTATCTCTAAAAAAATAATGCATCAAAACTCTTTTTAGAGATAGCTTTAAGAAAACTTTTAATTGCTATGTGCGTTTCTTGGGCGCTTTTTTGGTAATAACTCATCAAAATTCTCAATCATACTCAGGTTTTTTGGGAGGCAACTCAGTCGAGATGAATTGGAGGGTCCTCAAATAAAATAAGTTATATTTATTGTCGTACTTTTAATTTTTCTGAAATCATTGAAATTCAAAACACTCTTTTTTGCGGCATAAAAATAATGATTCGTCATTTATGGTTAAAAAAGGAAAATTATCCATGTGTTAAGCAAGCTGCACTTTATATTTGAGCTCGAATATGTATGCTGGAGAATGATGACAAGTTTGAAATTGCTTCTGGGTGTTCAGTTTTTTTTTCCTTTCAGGCTTTTGATGTAAAACTAGCCGGTTGCTTTGCCAGGGTTTCTAAATTTAACATAAATCTGAAATCTAATTAAATCGGTGATAATCAAAAAAAATTAAAACTAAAAGTTTCACGCCTTCAGTTTTTCAGATTAGTTTTTATATATTAATTCTTATTCCGACCACTTCAGATTAGTTTTTTCCGACCACTTCACTTCTTGGCGTAGCTTGTTTTTTTTGCCTCATTTTAACCTCAGAAAAAAAAGGTTTCAGGGGTTCAATTGTGGTATCAATTAAAAACTTGTCAGCCGTGAATCAGATTCCAAAAAAAAATCACAACTTTCGTAATCAATTTAGAGAAAAAATTCTAAACGTTTCCGTTTTTCAATCTAAATTACACAAAATTTACGAATGACCCGATGAAAGGTTGAATTCTCAATTTTACTACTCTGAAATACTCGTTTTCTCATGTTATTATTGCCTATCAATTGCAGATTTTTCGAATAATTCAATCGCTTTTTTACTGGAAAAAGAAGAAAGTTATACGACCTATAGCTAAAAAGTCCAGTCTAGATGTGCACTAGTCTTGATAATCACTTAAATAAGCTAAACCGTTCTCTAATCTCAGTTCGCCAATCTGCAGCTAGCTTCAGAATTGGTTACGCTGCGGAACTTGGACTGTCAAGGTCAACATAAATGAGGTTGCTCCAACCTGTACGTTAGGACACATGTCGTAATGACCCCCGTACGAGCAGTTTTTTCCGTGGTCAACTTCGGGCGGAAGAAAAAACAAGCTGCGCCATCAAGTGAAATGGTCGGAATAAGTGTTGTGCAAGTTGCACAGAAAATTCCCAACACGACTGCTCGCGTGGTTTGAAAGTTCAAACTCCGACAAAAGCAAAAATGTCAAACTGTTTTTTTTTACACAGAAGTTTTATATTATCGCTCGAATCACGAGTAAAAAGGTTTTAAAATGATATAGCACTCAAAGTTTTTCGATAATGGTTTGCGTGAAAAAAAAATTTAAATGAAAGCATACCCAGAGACAAAAGTGCTCCCCGCATTTAGTAGCAATTTTCCAAAAAAAAATATTTGATAATTTAAGTTTTTTCTTACATTTTTCATTTTTTGTACATCAATCGTTGTGCTTGGAGTATATGTTCTGCTTCCAAATATCCATGTTCAAATTTGTAATTAAATAGAGTAAGTAAAATGTTTTCTACTGAACTGTTGTGCTTGTTTGAACTTAATTGAAACTTAGGGGCGCAAGTGGATTTAAAAAATTTCAACATAAACAAAAAACCAAATTGAAATTCTCGTTCAAAAGTTTATCTTCAACTCTCTCAACATGAAATACTCTTGTTTAAAGTTTTGATGCAAAAACTGTATTCGCTCACTGCTTCTTGTTTCTGATTAATCCGACCATTGAAAATAGGGAAGAATTGTTGCGACATTGATGTTGCTCTGACCATTCAAATTGTTCCGACCATTGAAAATTGGGAAAAACGACAAAATTTTTTCAAAATTTGTTGTATTTTTCAAGACTATAGTCGGAACATTTCTTTTTTCTCTCTATTTCTTTTTTTTGCTATATCATGCATCCCAAACAATCATTGGACTGGATTGAGTGATATATCATATTAAAGCACTTACAGTCGTGATTCAAATTACATTAAAAATTTTCTAAATTTTTTCTCAGTGTCGAGAAAAACGGGTTTGAAGTTTTTTATTTTTTGTCTTATTTTGAGCGAGAATAAAGCGAGCGAGTAATTTTATTTTAATTGCTTAGAAATTTGCAAAAATCTAATTTACAATGTAAAAATTTAGTTTTTTTTAGTAATGTTAGTTTATTGTGAGCGTTTTAGCGTCTTGGAATCAAAATTTTCAAAAACTCAAAAAACTTTGGTTTCGTTTTTCTTGTAATTTTACTTCACAAAATGTAATCAAATTTGCTTACTTTACTATGATTGTCGAATATAACTAATCCCAGTTTTTATTCAGCTCCTTTTACTACACCACGCCGAAAAAAAACGACAATAATTTGAATTTTTTTGTATTGTTCAAGACTATGGGCGTCATATTCTTTGCTACTTGCACAGTAACCCGCGATCTTTTTTTTAGTTGTTTGTATTTCAAAGAGACATGTGACGATGTTGTGATGTTTAAAACGTTAACTCGGACCACCAAAAACAAAAAGGTACGATTTTGTTGTGGGGATAATTCGCCGCGCATAAACAATTCGTATTAGCTTTCCAGCAAGGGGAATATCTAAAAGTGCGCTTAAATTAACCAAAAGCATAGTCAAATTGGCAATTTTCAAACCCCCCTTAACTTTGCAGAAATGATCTGTGGTAAATTATCTTTTCTCATTTGATTTAGGTAGTTGATATCCTCAATGGAGTATAAAAGTTTTTGCTGAAAACTATCTTTTTGATTGCCGAAAGTTGACTGAATAAAAAAACCACCCCAAGCATAGTTTTTCCGTTTTCTTCGAAAGTCAGAAAAATTTTTTTTTACTACTGCAAGGATTCAAAAATTTATGCTGTGAAAGAAAAATTATAATGACTCGGTATAAAAATTGTGAAAAAATGATTGAAATCAATTTGAAAATTCGGGATGTTCGAGATAACTCACAGCACTGTTTTAAGTTCTGACTTAATCTAGTTTTATTCCTACCATCAGTGAGACAAGACTGCTCAAGCAATTTTGAAAAACTATGAAATTTATCAAGTTCAAGGAATTAAATTTGAGTCCTATATGGAATTGATAAGACCAATTAGCTTGCCTCAAATTAATTTGGAAAGCTTTTGTAATTCGGGATAATTCACCGCGCGTTAAAAATTCGAATTGCATTTCCAGCTCAAACTATCAAACGAGCTGTTTGGAAAGACTCGTGTAAGATTAATATAGCGGTGGGCGCATCCGGCGGGGCCCAAGAAAATCTAGAAATCAATTCCCGAGTGAGCAAATATTCTTTTGGAAATTGGTCTGGGTAAAGGTGGGAACAAAAGCCCAGCTACAATTTGTTTGCATGAGCTGCTGGAATATTTACATGGAAGCTTGTCCATGGTTTCTAATTTTTGGCGAAGTGAGAGGACAAAAACTGAAACTCGATATTAGTTTACAGGAGCCGTTTCATCCAATGAATTGCAATTACAGTCGATTCATCAAACCTGCGAGGTTCCGGAACATAACTTCCGGTTATAAAGACCTAGGAGTTGGGCTTCGCAAAGTTTGCAAATATCAACTATGAAATAGAGCATGCACTGAGGAACTAATTACTCACTGTTTGCTGTGACGACGACCACACTACGCCCGACTTCGTCCAGAACCGTTCACGCGTTTTTTTCTATCAATTTTCTGTTCAGATCAGTTTTGGCGTTTTGTTTTATTCGCACTATGTGTTAGCGAATGCCAAATAGCTTGTGCAAAATGTAGAGCATGTTGTAAAGTACTTTCTCGACGACTCTGTTTGTGCAAGTGATGATGGTGTTAGTTGGCCATGATGATTCTGGTTTAATATATTAATATTAGAACTCTGTTAGAGTAGCTTGTAATGCCATTGTTAATAAGCGCTGAAATGCTCCGAGAGATGGTAATAGTAAATGTTGTTTTCGGCTCGCATTTGTTGGCATGCCTTCTATACACGATAAACAATTGTATCTCACCACAAACCAGACATTCTCACATTTTCATCTTTCTTTAAATGTGCTTATTAAATATAATCAGAGCTGACCTACCAAAACTAGAACACCTATGTGTAGATTATTGGCTCTGACAAGACAGGCATATCCCATGATATCAGACTCAATTTATCGAATGAAGTAATTGCGAATCGTGAAAAGATAGAAACCCGCGTTTTGCTAATTTGTTTCATTTCGTAGAACTTTCTGAAATAAATTTATTGTTAGATAATTTTTTTAATGAAATATAGAGTCCGAAAAAGTCATCTCGATAAAGACCTCTGAAAAGTTTATGAATCAGTTAACAATATGAGTAGATTAATGAGAATCGAATTCAATTCACAGTCAAAGATTATTCGCGTTAAAGCACTAAAAAACAGCTCAAGCTTTTCTTAGTTTCGTCTTAAGTATTTAAGTAATTTTATAGCATGTTGATTGTAAAAACCAATTAACAGGTGAGAAGTTAAGGTGCTCTTGTATAATCGCTAATGGCTAACATCGCAAAACAATCCATTAACATGTTTTGAATACGGCCATATGTTCTTTCTGTATAAATAAGATTTATACATTAACATGTTTGCTTTCAAAACAATGAAGCTTTTAGGTATTGTAGCTGTTAGCCGTTTTTCTTAGTAAAATGCCAAACAGAAAACCAAAATTTTTTAATTGAAAATATTTCACGATGTGGGGGATATGAAAAAAGTGGCACTTAGTTTAAGTCGGTTCTAAGCATCGTGCCGGAGCTATCCTGAAACCAGGCGCGGCTCTGGGATTTTCTCAAAGGAGCATTTGTAAGTTAACCAAATTATTTTCCCGCGCTATCCCAAAATTCAAAAAAGTTATCGCGTCGGTGGGTAAATGCGAGCAATCAAAATTAATGGAATAGTAAGTTCTGACTTTTCTTCCACGTACAAATTGACTCATAATTTTGAATCATTAATCATTTAATAGCTTCATTTTTTATAAATTCCAAGTCAGCTTCTTAATCTGCCAATTTGGCGCAAGCTTTATGCATTAGCACGTTTGCTTTCGAAACAATGAAACTTGTAGGTATTGTAGCTGTTAGCTATTTTTCTTAGTAAAATGCCAACAGAAAACCAGAATTTCTTGATTGAAAACAGTCCACCGACGCGATAACTGGCCAAAACTGCATTTGGCCACGATCTCCTCTTTTTGTATACTTAAAAAATGGTCATCCTGTACAATGGTCGGCCTATCAATTGTCGGCTTACCTTTGTCGCCTTTACAGAGTGGAATTTTTTTTCCGACCATTGAAAATGGAGAATTTTGTATTCGAGTGTGTTTTAGTATTTTATTCTTTTTTTTGTTTTCCACGAGAAATCAGGCACCAAAAAAAATAATTCGAAAAAGTCGAGTGATGTATCATATGTTTCAGTCGTAATTTGAAAAACGTACGAAAATTTAAAAAGTTTTTTGCAGTATCAAGAAAACTGGTTTTAATGTTTTTGCGGTTTTGCCTAAGTTCGTGCGAGTAATTCTGTTTATATCGAGTTTTACTTTTTCTAGACATTTGGGCTAATAAAATTAATTTTACTGTGACAAAACTAGTTTTTGATGGATAATTTAGTGCTAATTTGGTGGAAAAATGTTAACGAAAAAAATTTTGTGCAAAAACTAGAAAAATTTTCAATGTAAATCTTAATTTTTTTTGAACTTCTTTGTTTGTTACTTAATTTTTGAAGACAAATGAAATGATGTCGACCAAACCTAAATCATTTAAATTCTACACAATCGTATAATTCTCAAGTCACACCTCGCACTCAAACGACACTAGTTCGAAGAAAACTGTAAAAGTTTTTTTCCTATTTTTCTTATGAACATGGCCGGATAATTCTCTGGTACTTGCACAACAACTGGCTATCTTTGTTTTGTTTTAGCAGTTTCCGTTTGAATGAAATTTTTTTTGGTACTATTATAGGTAATTGAGTGTCAAACAGTTTGTCAAAATTAAAAAAAATCAATTAAAAAATTTTAGGACTTTCTGTTTGAAGTTTTTAGTTTGTTGTTTTTCTTTTTATTTCCAAGAGAGTACTGAATTAAATGTTGCCGTTTTATTTTACACTTCTAAATTTTCGTTAGTATCAAAAAATGAATTTTTTTTTGTTTTTTCCCGGTTGGTTCTATCGCTAGTTTTGATTTTGTCAGATGACATAAATGAATTAAGATTATGTTATCTACTTTAAAAAATATTTTACAACTTTGACAAAGATAAATCAATTTTGTATCGCTAGTGATCTAATTCTCCGCGTTGTCTCTGCATTTGAATTTTTCATGAGTATCTGGAGGACTCAGTGTCTTGATTTCGTATCCTTATCTCTACAAAAATTTTCAAAAATTTTTTTAAGTTGTTTTCAGTTGTAAATCTGAATTTCCTCAAAAATCTTTGAATAAGCTTCTCAGTGCCAAGAAAAACTGTTTTGATAATTTTGAATTTCAGTCCAATTTCAAGCCAAAAAACGAACGAGCAGGCTTATTACAGAAGGATAACCATGAAGCGTTTATTCAAGACATCGAAATTCCAGTTAAATAGTTTCCAAAAATTTTTAAGCTTCGGTTTGAGAAAACACAATAAAATTGTGCTACTAACGTGAAAAAAATATAAAAATGGTTTTTGAAATTAATTTTTTTTCTTCGTTTTTTAGCCTTACTGTTGAGCAAAACGCCCATAATATTATAACACTCGGTTATGTTTCAAGGTTTGGCCTTCGTTTAGATCCTTTCATCAAATTTTGAAAACAAAAATGACACTATTTGGCAGAAAGGAAAAAAGATTTGTTCAGTAGTTTTTTAAATGTACGGTCGGAACGTTCTGTGCTGCTTGCACAGCAACCAGCTATTCTTGTATAACTTTATTTGTTCATATCATCTAATTTTTCCCGAACATCTGCAAAAATTTTATGAGCTTTGATGGTTCGAAAAAAAACGCTCTACATTTTTCGTGTTTTTCTCTATAATTTTAAAAATCTGACAAACAAATCTGCAATTTGAAAATTTGATAGTTGAAGATGAAAGTCAACTTCTTTTTGAAAAAGAATTAAAGGACATTTAGAGCGTCCGATGATTTTTGCAATTTTCACTCTAAGCTTTTTTTGATAAGTCCAGGTTGTCATTTCAGAGAAAAGGCGATTTAAAACGTATTTTTGGCGTAACCGTAGTCTAGAAGGGTCAATGGAATAACTTTTGACGTTAAGTCAAAATTCATCTGAAATTTTGGCTTGGCATTGCTCGGTGAGAAGAGTATAAAGTGTAGCTTTTTCACCACATATCTTGACTTTTTTCAGCTGCATATTTTTGGTATTATTTCGGGGTGTTTTTTGGGCTGCAGCCTCCTTCCGTGCCTGTTTTAAGCACTCTCTTGATCTACAAGTATCGTGTAATTACTTTGAAGCAAAGGTTTTGCCCGTGAAAACGCTTTCCATCCCAAAACTTGAATTTTAAGCTGCATTACGGGGCTTTGTCTTTGGAAGACGTCATTAAGAATTCAAGTTTCTTTCGGACATTTTTGCGTGGACTATTAGCTCCACTGTTCTTCAACGTTCAAGGATCACTGGCATTATGAACAATTAGCCTTCTTTGCAAAAACTTCGATTAATCAACCGTCAATCAGTGGTTCCTTTTCTCGAGTGGAGACAATCCTGCTAACGCAGGGGCTCAAAGATTCTCCCGTGAATAATTATAAGCCGGGAGCTGGGCGAAAAAACTCAATATTTTGAAAAGCAAGGAATGGTCTGTGTTGTGATTCAGTATTTTTAGTATGTTATAACCTTGACCTCTATGACCTAATTACATACCAGTCAATAATAACTCTACGAAGTCCAGTGGACTTCGAGTCACTAGTTGCTCTTTTTAGACTACAGTCAGTTTTAATTCAAACATTACTTTTATCCTCTTTTAACTTTAGTTAGATACTCAAGTTACCATTGGTACATCTTAACTCTTTATTATGGCGCAGTCAACAACTGATTCGAACCTGAGGGGAATACCCGCCTTTTGGCCGAACCACACGGTTGAACCCCCCACCCAATGGAATAATTGGATAGACCAATTTCATTTGGCCATTATCGCGAAGGAAAACCTAGACCTAGATAATCTCAAAGAACCAATGGAAGGGGAGACGACGTTACCAATCCTAGAAGGCGCCCAGGAGTCAGAAACTGACCAACAGAGGAAAGCCAGGGAGGCCAGGAACAAAGAAACAATGCGAGTCTATGAACACGCTGAAGAGAAAAGACTAGCAGAAGAAAAGAGAAAATTCGGAGGAATGAGGAGATACGAGGCCGATAAAAAAGTAAGGTCAATCCTATACTTGGCCTTAGGAGCGGAAGGCAAAAGAGTTTTCGCCCAGAAACATCCAAGGGTAAAAATCCTAGGAATCTCATTCAAGGAGTTTTACGAAATGCTAGAATTGGCTTTTATCAAACCAACCAACATAACATTCGAACGATACAAATTATTGAGCAGGAAACAAAAGGATAGAGAATCTTATGAACAATTTTGGGGCGCGTTATCAGACTTGGCGAGATCATGTGAAATTGGAATTAATGCAGAACAGGAGTGGATCAGAGACGTATTTATCTTTCACATGAAAAACTGCGACTTACAACGTAGACTACTTTCGGAAACTCTCAATCCATTGGATGCATTAAACCAAGCTATAATTGACGAAAAAGGCTACTACAACCACCTCAAACTGACCAATATGACTAGATCTTTCAACACGACAGGAAATAGTGGAAGAGGGTATAAAAACTTCAACAACGTTAAAAAGGAACCAAGCTTAAACATAGAAAGATCTAATACTTGTATGAAATGCGGGAATGCGTTTACCAAGGGTCATCTGAATGTGTGTCCGGCGAAAGAAATCGTGTGTAATATTTGTAAATATAAAGGACATTTTGGAAGACTTTGTAAATCGAAAGGAAAAAAACCCGCTGTAAATACTGTAGATGAAGCTGTAAATAGTCAGAATTGTTCATATTCCCCAGAAGATCTTCAGATGAGAAGCGAAGAAAATTTTTGTGGAGTTATTAACGCTTGGACCGAAGAGGGGATAA